TTTTAAAGAAAACAATATTTTGACTTTTAAATAGCCTTTTTTGTACCTTACTTGGCTGCCACAGTAATGTATTTAAAATATCCTAATAGGTAAATATTGACAACAGGCTATTATTTGCATTGAATTTGATACAAAATGTGTTGCAGGAAATGTATTTAATTCATTTTAATAGATTAACAGCACTAATAAAAGTATTTGAACATTTTAATTTGACCATAACAAATAACTAATCCATGCTATTTAGTACATCAAATCGTGTTGTTCTGTGTCCCTAAGAGTCAGCTGATATGGTCGTTCGCTCTTCTCTTCACATCAGTGTAGCTTATCGCTCCATATCAGCATTAACGTGGCTCTGAGTTATAGAGGGGAGCAGGCAGACAAGGAATGGGAAGGAAAAAGAGCCGAGCTCTTATTTCATTGTGACAAATGTGTCTGGATACCTTCAGCACGACACTTACCGCCCTCGTCCCGTGCTCAGTGGGTCAACCAAAGACATCAGCCTCTGACAGATTTCTTCATGGCCCATCTCTCGCAGCGTGCAGATCCGCTTAGCCGTGTGACATGAGAGCTGGCCACAAACCAGACACACTTTTAACACCAGGTTTAGGTTTTGGAGGGGAACTTGAACTTGAAATAGTAAGACACAATTGCCTATACGATGGCATTATAATCATAAATAAATCATCATCATACAAATTCTATGGCAGCATTGCATAGATCCTTCCCAGAATGCAGAACTCAGAAAAATACCAATTGTGAATGAAGCGAGTGAAACGTTAATTGTACATGAACTTATATTTCATCTAAAACTGAAAAGTTTTAATAAAAACACTTCAGACTAATGAAAAATTGATCATTTTAATCAATATTTGTGTGCGCTATGCATTTTTATGCTTGAGTGTCACGTTATATCAAACTCAAAGTGGTCCCCAGCAAATGTTTGTACTTTATTTAATCCATAAAAATTTGTTTTGTTAGTGTAAACTAATGCATTTAGGTTAAATAATGCTTTTGAGTTAAATAGATGTTATTTCATCTGGTTTATTTCATCTTTCATAGGGAATGCTGTGACATGCAGAGTTGCTCCCTATGTAGACTGAGGCGGTTCCCTAGGTTTTGGAACAGATTTAGTATATTATATTTACAAAATGTATTGAATACAAACTGTGTAAGTTTGACGAGCAATGTGTAAATGATCACAATAATTTGGCAGTAGAACAGGCATTCCAAAAAATACCAATTGTGAATGAAGCGAGTGAAACGTTAATTGTACATGAACTTATATTTCATCTAAAACTGAAAAGTTTTAATAAAAACACTTCAGACTAATGAAAAATTGATCATTTTAATCAATATTTGTGTGCGCTATGCATTTTTATGCTTGAGTGTCACGTTATATCAAACTCAAAGTGGTCCCCAGCAAATGTTTGTACTTTATTTAATCCATAAAAATTTGTTTTGTTAGTGTAAACTAATGCATTTAGGTTAAATAATGCTTTTGAGTTAAATAGATGTTATTTCATCTGGTTTATTTCATCTTTCATAGGGAATGCTGTGACATGCAGAGTTGCTCCCTATGTAGACTGAGGCGGTTCCCTAGGTTTTGGAACAGATTTAGTATATTATATTTACAAAATGTATTGAATACAAACTGTGTAAGTTTGACGAGCAATGTGTAAATGATCACAATAATTTGGCAGTAGAACAGGCATTTTAACTCTCTGAATTAGTTTATTATTATGAATTTGTTTGTCTTTCTTTTGAGAGCTCTCCCAAATCATTTCACAAAGGTATTTTCTTTCTCACATTAATCATGTACCTGCCATTAAAACGAGAGCGTTTGAGTAATTGAAACGTTAATCACCTGCTACGCTGAGCGGTACTTCAGGATTGATGGTCAAAGATGCGAATCAATACAGACTTTCAGTGCCACCACTGCAAAATAAGCAACACAGTAAGTGTAAATCTGTGATAATCAGAGGCCTCTCAAATGCCTGTCAGATCAAACAGACTGCGTGGATTACAGCCAGTACACACACACACACATACATACATTAGCATTTACTCACACAAGGCAGACCTCCTACAAGAGAGTTCCTTTATTGATGTCATAAATAAAGTCAAACTGAATGTGAAAGAAAAGGAATGTTTCATGTGACAATATTGTTTTTGGTATAAAAGAGTGATTTCCCCCCCTGAATTTATCATTTAATTTCCTTGCTTTATGTTTTTGTTGGAGCTATTATTAATATAAATACCTAATATATATACTGTATCTGTGTGTGTGTGTGTGTGTGTGTGTGAAAGAATAAATTATTTTATTCAGCATGGATACATTAAATTGATCAAAAGTGACAGTAGACTTACATTTATAATGTTACAAAAAAAAAAAAAAAGTAATAAAGAATAAATAAATTATAAAAAATCAGTATATTAGAATGATTTCTGAAGGATTCTGAAATTATTATTATTATTATTATTATTATTATTATTATTGAGTCTTCCCCACAGCTTATGGATGTTTCTGTGTGGACTCCTACAATATTCTTTTGAAATCATCTCATTAAATGCTGCTATGTTACCATAATTCAGAGAGCAGACTTTTCAAGCACACTCTAAGTAAGTGCAGTTATCCTGATAGAGTGCTTCAACACCTTTGAAACAACTTGCAGTAAATTGCCTCACTTAATGCCATGCAGGCATTGGTCATATGAAGAACTAGAACATTAGAACTGATGCCTTGAGGTACTACATCAACACCACTTGTTAACACAACAGGGTTGCAATCCCTACTTGTTTTATTGCACCATCATTTTTGACCATTTTTATAGATCGAAATGTAGAGTGTTTGAGGTTGCTAATGAGTTTCCATGAGCGGATTCTTAGCTGCTTATTTAGGCAGTAGAGAACGGGGCCATTTACTCTGAGCTAATGAGAGAAAAACACAGTTTGATATAAGAAATGCTATGATATTACAGATTTCATAACCAAGACATCAACAGGTCTCTTTCATATAGTTTTCTTTCAGAGAGAGAGAATAGTTAGTGCTGGAAAAAGAAGTGAATTTGGAGTTGAAGGGATCCCATGAGAGTATGTGTCTGAATGGGTGTGAATAACTGAATAACTTAGATACACGCTCAGTGCTGTCATCTCGCTCCTCACAAGAGACAATCTGATAATGTCACATTGAGACTTTACGCATGGCTTTGTTTAAGGGACATTGTCTGAAAGGCCTCAGTGATAACATCAGATAACCGTTGGTTCTGCATCTTCGCTAAATCCCCAGGAACTTCTAAAGGGCACAAGGACTGTATGTTTGCTTAGGGGTCAAAGTTTGGCTGTAAGCATGGTCCAGTTAACTATTGCCAGTAGATGCCATAACCATCTGAGTGTGAAAAGCTTCTTGAATGTTCATTCAAAGGTTGTATTCTGATGAAAGAAACATAATTTCATTATATTGTAGTTTAATATGATTTCATTATATTATAGATTTTCAATTTAATTTAAGCAAGAATGGTAAATTGCAAATCAAAGTAACATTTATGTATACACTTATTATAAATATTTGTGTTATTAGATATATATTTTCAATTTAATTTAAGCAAGGATGATCATTTAGAAATTCAACAAATTGTAACTTAATGTAATTGTGTACATTTATATAGTAATTTGATTGCAACTGCATTCTTATAGGAAATATTTATTTTACATTCAATTTTAAATTGTATTCATATTTATTTTCTTATTTATATTAGTATTCAAATTGGAAGCATTTATTTATTTAATATATATTTCCAATTTAATTTCAGCAAGAATAGTTATTTAGAAATTCAGTAAATTGTAAATTAAACAGTGTAATTGTGTACATTTATGTAGTCATTTTTATTATAACTGCGTATTTAAAGGGAATATTTAATTTATTTGTAATATTTATTGTCACATTTTTTATTTATATTTTATTAAAATTTGAAATATATATATATATCCTTTAGAAATATTTTGTTTTCATTTTATTTGTTGCTGCATTCTTAGTTTTTTTATTTTTAACCTGGACAAATAAAGGTTTACTACTAGTAGTAATGTGCATAAATTTTGACCATCTTTTTTTGGTTTGTTTAGTTAAAAAGTAAGCAGATATTTAATGAAATCAATGCATTTACATGATGCACGTTACATATGCTTGAACAGCATCAATGAAAACACTTTAGAACAACTTGCAAAGATTTCAAGGGTCTGGAAAAATGTGTTTGAGTGAATAGAATCAAGGAGAAGGACACAGGAATGCAATACATATTTTCTCATACAGTTCAATAATTTATTGACTCTGCCAAGACAGGATAAATCCCCACCACCAAAGCTCATTCAAGGTTTCTGAGAAGGCCCTTGACACAGAGTTTGCCGTGAAATTGGAAAAGTTCAAGTCTGTCTCTCTCAGTGATTCTGAATTATTGAACCAGCCCAAATCTGCCTCCTCTTTTTCGTTTTCTCCTTTATTCAGCTTTCACCCAGCTTCAGGTCGCAGTGCTGTCACTACAGACATTGCAGTTCAATGAGGACAGAGATGCACTGCTAATTGGACATCAGAAATGAAGTCTCTTAGATGAAGTGTGTTTCTGTTAAGGATTTTATTTGATGTATTTTTGGGTTGCAGGACAGTAAAGATGTGAGGAACTATTGGACATGTCAACATCGATGTAGATTCACATCTTATTTGTGTCAGAAAGATTGTCCAGTGCGATGATCAATTTGTGTGCTGTGCTTCTTTTCATTGTTCACCAATGACTGAGCGAGAGTGAGTGTGATTGAGCAAGTAAACACTTGATTAACGTAGTAACTGGCTAGTGAACCTCTCTTCTAGCTTCACTTATCTAAACGTTCTGTCGTAGCAAATTCTCCCATAATAAATGACTGTAGGATCTGAGCACTGCCCCACAGAGAAGCACTGACAGCCCAGCCGTGCTGAGATTTGACAACAGGCCTCTTGTTTCCACTCCGCAGTTTGACATGCAACAGATGTCCCTGGAGGAGCTCAAACACGTCCTGTTCCACGCCTTCAGAGACCATCTCACCATGAAGGACATCGAGAATATTATCGTCACCGAGGAAGAGAGCTTGAAGGAGAACTCAGGAAACTGCCAGACCGAATTTCAGGGAGGTAAATAGCAAAGTGAACAATTTCATGTTAATTGACGGATCCCGCAACAATTTGTTAAACTCGCGCTGATTCAAGTTTACAGACGCTGGAAACTTTGCAAAGCTCCGATGAGGTGATGCTTAAAGTACTGCCAGTAACTCGAGAATTCAGTTCTGTATGAATACTACTGACAATATTTTCATATGATCACTTTTTCAGAAGCCTAGAAGTATTTTTCTACACAGGCATTTCAAAAATTCTTCAATAAAGAGTTTTAAGCCTTAAACCAAACCAACTAGCTCGGAGTTAAATCACAGCTTACAAACTTCTTTATCAAATACTTTTTTGATTCAAATCAAGGTACAAGAATGTGTATATAATGTATTTTATGAGATAATGAAGTACTCCTCCCATGAAACATTAGAAATTATGTAATTGAATCAAAAACAATGATATATAAAATTTACACATTTATTTATCACATATATTTAAATTTAAATATAAAAGTAGATATATTTACATTTTATTACAATGAAAATATAATTATTACATTTACATTTAGTCATTTAGCAGACGCTTTTATCCAAAGCGACTTACAAATGAGGACAATAAAAGCAGTCAAAACTAACAAAAGAGCAACAATATATAAGTGCAAATGACAAGTCTCGGTTAGGCTAACGCAGTACAC